TCTTGGGCGTACGCCACGTACACACCACTGCATACCACCCTTCATCCAATGGTATGGTTGAACGGCTCCATCGCCAACTCAAGGCAGCACTGATGACGAAAGAAGATCGTGCTCATTGGGTTAGCCACCTTCCTCTCGTCCTCCTGGGAATCCGTTCTACCTTCAAAACAGACATCGCTTGCACCTCCGCCGAGCTGGTCTATGGCGCTACGCTTAGGTTGCCTGGAGAATTTCTCACACATGTACCATCGGAAGATCCTGACATCCCGTCCTATCTTCAAGAGATGAGAAATTTCTTTTCCTCCCTGCGACCAGTGCCACCCAGACAACAGACTTCACGGCAGATTTTCGTTAGCGACGACCTCCAGACCTGTACACACGTATTCGTGCGAAGAGATGCTGTACGAGCACCCCTCACGCCACCATACGACGGACCGTATGAAGTTCTTTCTCGAACAGAAAAAACCATCACGGTCAACATCAACGGACGTCACGATGTGGTCACGCTGGACCGCGTGAAACCTGCCTATTTAGCTTCCTCCGTGACAAATCCTGTCGTTTTCCCGCTTGAACTGTCCAGAACAACTACCCAAGTCACCAACACCCGCCAACAACCTAGTTCCAAAAAGATCGTTACGTGAAGCACAACCACAACTTTTGCTCCGCGCTACTAGGGGGGGGATCCTATAGTGACACAGACAGATGCGCTAGGCTCGCAATGCTGGTTCTCACGAGCGCCAGCCTCTGCCAGCGCTCGTGGCTTGGGAGCCAGGAAAATAAAGAGAAAGAAGTTGACTCTAGCCAAAGCTCTGGTTCGGATGCCTGCATTTTTCCTCCGGCGTTTATAGAACACCGCCGACAATGTCATTGAAATGTATGGGCTTCGGGCCAAAGGAGAATAAAGACAAGTTTTCATCTCCACAGTGGTGTCTGGTGTAAAAGGTAAACGTTTATATGGTCTAACAAGCACGTAGCTTTCACTTGTAGAGATGAAAAGCCAGTCCTTACTCTCCTTTGGCCCGAAGCCCATGCATTTCACTGTTCGTTGCTTGTGCTCGCGCACACCGGCAGCTGCTGGCTCGTGGAAAGAACGTGCGCCACTTATTATGGGTACTAAATTCTTTGGTTCAGTATCCCTTTAAGTAAGCGACATTCGTGCGACCGGTCCTTGAGGGATATATACACACACAAACACGCGCACAATAAACAGGATATAAGTAAGTAATGACACACGAGTAACAACAGTCTCAATTCGTCTTTACATTATCCTGTAGATTACCAGTGGCAAAACAAAATAAACCAATAAATATGCAAAGGCACACAAAGAAAAAGCAATAAAAACATTTATGTGGGCATGAGTGAGTGCACGGACACCGCAACCTCTGTCAAAGTTACTGCAGCTTGCGTTAGATAACACAGATGTAAATGTTATACAGCAGGCCCTAAAGCTCCTATATACTGAAAGTAGCGACTCGCCTTCTTGCCCTCGTGAGTCTCTCGCTATCTCGTCCTCTCCTCGACGAATCTGTCCCTCTTTTATTTATTTTTGCGCCGAGCGCCACGGATTCGTGTTCTATGCGTGATTTCGACTCGCATCTTTCGTGTTTTTGCTAAGGTAGCACTTGCCGTTGCCCCTGACGTCTTGGCGACTGAGTATGCTTTTCATTGCTTCACGTCTGTAGAAGGTATGCGAGTTTCGGCGAGGCTTCGGCAGTCCGTCTGCTCCGATCATCCGATTCAATATATAATGCAAACTTCCGCTTTAAAAACATTTGTATCATAAAATTGAACTTTGGGACAGATCGTCCCAGTCGCATTTCTTATCAGCACATAAGGCGACAAGCGCGAAATAGCGCACGTTTTTATTACTGAACGCGAAGCCGCGATCTTACGCTGCGAATGGAGCAAAGTACACCCAGTAGTTTCGGTGTCGCCCGACTCTCTCGTTTCCGAAACAGTCGACAGCAAATACCATCACTGCTTGTGTCATTTTGTTTCTGCCTTTAAACACCCAAGTGACTACGAGATGAAACACGCGAATGAGCGTCTTATAAACATGCGCAAGTGAGTCAGTAATGCCACTTCATAGCGGCGGTTAGATCTCGTTTCTAAAAGCAAATCACGCGAAATAAGCTCTACCGATTGAAAAACCTTTGACGGGCGGCCGGGAACGTAGTATTTATACGCATTCGAATTTTTTTGTTTGGCAACAAACTCATTTCTTCATCTCTCCGGTAGCCCTGGCACACTTGCAGTTTGGGTATATTTTCTCAATTTTTACGCATCACTTTCTTCATGAAAGCGAATTATATGTAAGGGTGGCATAAGCGACCATTTTCCAAAAATAGCGCGTAGATTGACTCTCGCAAATATCGCGCAACCCGCCATCCTGTTGGGGACCGTAGGTGAATGGGGGCTGTATGCGCACTGGTGCTACCACGTTTCAACTCGCGCGAGAAAAAGCTGATGGGCACACCGTCGGAAAATGACATGGGAGAGCAGGAATGGCGGAAGGAAGTGGCGAACCGAAACCGGGTGGGCGATCGACCAATCAATGATAGTGGAAAGGGGAACTTTGAAGAGGGGGATCAGGATTTTTCTAGAAGGTGGAAGTGTGCCGGAGGAACAATCAATGCCTCTACTTTCAGTATAGAGAGACTTTAACTGGCCAATTGTATTACTGTTTTAAGTGACGGACATCACCCCATTTCGTACTAATGCCGTCTCTCTCTCTCTCTCCTGAAGTCACGCAATGCGTCCTCAGTGTTTTACGTTCTTTTCTGTACCTTGAGCATACCTAGAAAGTTACTTTTTTGAATTAAGCCTTATGCTGGCACTTTGCATGCTGGGTTGTCGAGTTTCCTGGAGCATGACGCTAGTGGCCAGCAGTTCCGTGCAGTTTGGGAGAACTCTGTCGAATGTGGTCAGGCTCTATGGTAGTAACAATATTCATTGTGTCTTTATTTTGTTTCTCGATAGAAATTGGGTTTCTCAAATTATCCTAACATGACTCAATGTTTTTTTTTTGTTTTTTTGGATATATGAACATTATTCTGTCTGTATGGCTGATCTTAAAATGGAACAAAAAAAACATATCTAGGAGTCCCAGACTAGTGATATTTTTTTTAAGAATGCTTCGTAATTGTGACTTCACACAGTTAACCAAGTACTTCTTCAATAGTTGGATTTCTAAAAACCTGGTGTTGTGATGTCTATCGGCCGTGCTTTCGTGTTCTTCATTTTGCTTTCTCGGCGCTCAAATTGAGGCACTTTGAGCGGCACCTTTAGCTTGAGAACCGAGAACTCACGAAGATTGATGTGTGAGGAATACAGATTATAATAAACCTGGGGAATGTTGTGCTTAGTCAAGATGTTGTGGGTAAAGTCGGTACAATGAACGAAACGCTGTGGCGCAGATGCCCCATTTGCGCAACCCCCACAAGTCAGGTGTCTTGAGACAAATGGCATTACACCAATGACGAAAAACCATTCTATAATTACTGTCTTTATTAAGAGTTTAGCCTTGTTACGCTTTAGTGAGAGAACCCCAACGTAGACTTAATGTAAGCATCACTTTGACATTGCTTTCCAACTGTTACGCTTTCCATTGCCTAAATAAGGCCCGCTTCAGACGGGGCAATTTTTATCAGCAACTTCATTTAAGATCTAGGGAAAGCTAGGAAATAACTCGCCAGCAACAATAAAATTTCTGGGAAAGTTGCCCTGTCTGAGGTGGGCCTTAGGGAAGCTCGAAACGCTATGGCGATTGAGCTTTGATTTCTGTGTCGTACGTATACGCTCACAATTTATCACCTGAGATCATCAGGTATTATAGGTTATCTTTTGCTCACATGAACGCGTCTTGGGCAGGAATTTTTATATCGAACCTTTCAGGTATCGAGAGCGGGGAGAGGCAAGAAAGAGGTGCAATATCAGAAATTAGAAAAGTAAACATATCCGTATTGTCTACGGAGCGGGTGCCCGCGCTCCTTGTTCAACTTTAGCAAATTTATTTCTCGCATGCTAAAGTTGTTCTTGCATTAGAGCTCCAAAGAATGGCTGCCTTATCTTGTCAATAACCCTATCGCGCACTTATCTCGTGAAAACCATCGGTTTTGTCAAGCTGCCATTGCGTTCGAGCTGCAAAGCATGGCAGCCAGGTGATCGTATACTTTTTATTCGTGTCCATGACTGTATAATACAGTGGGCATGGGACTGAACATAGCGGCCGAGCGGGGAAGCGAAGTGCGTTCGGGAATATTGAAAATAAGGCGAGGTGTGTGAGTTTTGCAAGGGATGTGGGTAATCAGCTGGTAATGTCAGAATGTGAGGTCGAGAGGACTTAACGGGGCTTACTACACGACGGTGATCTGAGCTACATCCACCCGGGAAGGAGAAAGGGTGACAAGCGAGCGGCACCTTACAACGTGAGGAGATAATGAACGGAGCTTTTTTACCCAAACCTTATAGTCGTCACGTCGACGACCAAAAAAACGAAGTCCGAACATCAGCACAGCGGTACCAGTAGCGTACCAAAAAATAGGCGTATAATAAACGACAACTTTGCAGTGACCCTTGACATTCTGAACTCGTAAAACCGATTGGCCCCATAACTAAAGAGACCATTTGCATAAGTAATTTAAGTTTCCAAAACTTTCACCGGCTATATTTGTAAAAGAAGAACACCAAATGATCAGGTGATGTATCATTATTGTATATATCAATTACGTACATAAGAAAGATGTAGGTTAATCAAACATCTATATTTATGGGTGGTTATTGCGACTGCCAAAGTAAATGAGGCAGCTCATATAACATAAAGGTTATTTGAAGATACGGTAAAGTTAGTTGTTACCGGCATTAACTCCTCATGATGCAGAAACTAACTATAGACAGTCCACAAAAGAAATATAGAAAATGCAAGATGGCCGTTGATAGGTGGCTTGACTGGTTACAAGTGTTAAGCAAACAATTGTCCTGCAAGAAGCCGCCAGGTTATTCTATCCGTCCTTGCAGCTCACTACTCTGTACAGATCATCCCTCTTGTGTTTGTGGACTGGCATCTGCTCCCTGACCGCATCCAGATAATCTAAGTCCACCTCAGCAAGCACGACCTGTTCGGCAGCCTTGGCAGACTGAACCACCCTGGCGGACGGGTCCACCAACATGCTGTGTCCCCAGGCGACATACGACGCCGCATTATCCCTAGCTTGGCAAACCGAAGCCACGTAGACTTGATTATCGAGCGCCCTGCTCCTTGAAAGCAGTTCCCAGTACCGTGGGCCAGTCGTCATGTTGAAGGCTCCGGGGTATACCAGCACCTTGCAACCGAGCTGCGCGTACATTTGTGCCAAGGGCGCGAATACGATATCGTAACATACACCGACGCCAACTTTGCAGAAGGGAGTCTCGAAGGTAGTCAATTGGTCGCCCGCTGTCACAAAATCCGACTCCCGAAAGGTGATTTTGCCAGGGACGTCGATGTCGTAGAGGTGTACCTTGCGGTGCTTGGCCAGCATTGAACCGTCCGGTCCGTACACCAGGCAGGTATTGTAGAGTTTGCCGTTTTCCCTCTCTGACAACGTTCCTCCGACGAGGTAGACCTTGTTTTCTTCGGCGCATCTTGACAACAGCTCGCTGGATCTACCGGGAATCGGCTCGGCGTACTGCGAGAAGTACTTCGGTTCGTACGGGAAATTAAAGCATTCTGGGAGGCACAGCATCTTGGCTCCCGCAGAAGACGCATCTCTGATCAGCCTACTTGCAGTTTGGAGGTTTTCGGTCTTGTTGGCAGTCACTGCAAGCTGGAGCAGGGCCAGGCGAAACTTGCTTGTTGACATAATTCAAGGACGTGGAATAAACCAATGTTTTATTTCACCGAGGAAACAGCAGAAAGTCTACGCCAGAGCCTGACAGGTCCAGACACCAGACACCTTTCCACGGGAGGCAGCGTAGCAGTCGCGTATGCCCTGCGGTTACAACCGGGTGTTAACAACAACCGATGGCGGCGAAGTGTCGAATATTGCTTAAATTTAAATAGAATACTTGCCTTCTGCGAAAACAAAAAAAAAAGGTCGGCTCAAGTTGTAAACATTTCTATCTCTATTTTAAAAAGGATTGTAGAGCGACTTGCCTAGATAACGCAAATCGGTGTCGGTGAAGTGACCGCAGGAACGAGCGAGAAGTTGTCTTCGTTTTCCTCGTTTTTTTCCTTAATCTAAGAAATAAATTTATAAAAGTGTTTACCCTTATTTTAGGCCAGCCGAAATCGTTTTATTGGTTTTATAGAGCGATGTGTGTTCTCAAAATCACCTTTGGATGCAAGGGGAGTAGGCTTTTTTCGATATAACAAAATAAGAAATGAAGCCTAAAACACCAAAATAACAAAAGTGACGGACAGAAAGAAGAATTGCAGACTATTCCAAAACTTGTCCGGAAAATAAAATATATTCTGTCTAGCGAGTTTGACCATTCAGTCCAGAATTCATTGTGAGGTCAGTTCGGAACGTCATTTTGTTCATGCCCCTTGATGTGTTTGGGTTATAATTGGCTGGTCGTTTTTCAGCCCTCCTATCCGCTGAATCGAATCTTCAAGATCTGGGAGCATAACCATATTAGAAGTAAAGAAACGGCGCGCCAGCTGAGTGCTCGGCATTATTTCTGAGCGGGGCCGGTAGTGATTCTAGGCCCGAGCGCCGACACTGAACCGGATACTGAGGACAACTTCCGGAGCCACTCCGCTGCAATGGCACAAGCTACCGCCCGACCCGAAAGGCTTGGCCAATACCATGCATCCATCCAGCACCCTCCCCACATGTACGCATGCCCCCACCAACAATGAAAGCCTTCAATGCGGACGCTGGCTTTCAATGCGGTCCCCCGTGAAGCGCCGAGCACCTCGTACTTACTGCACAGCACATCAGTGCGGTACCCAAACGTGGCACGGCCCAGCGTTGTTCTACGGTGCACTAGGCCATCTGGTACAGAACTCTGGCCATTCTGACACGCCTGAACCCTCCTGGGTTTAGAATTGGTGTGTATTTTTATACAGCCTGAAGTTCGTCTGCCTTAGTGGACGGATTCATGGGTGCTGCAGCGCGAGCTTTGGCTCCACGCGCTCCGAGCGCTAGAACACTTGGCCACCGATCCCCCCTGGGTCGAAGTAAGGATAGGAGTGGATATAACTCAAGACCCGACCTGGGCGCCTCTAGCGGCAAATGCATTATTTTCATCGATAGGTCATTTTTAACCGCTGCACTCAAATTACATTTGCTGAAATTTCGCTCCACGGAAAAAGCTGGTGAAATTTGTGAAACCCGTTCTAAAACGACGGGCACACTAGGACACCCGATCCCCGACGAGTAGGTGGCGACTAGAGCCACTAAATAAGCTGCGCTTAGAGTATCGGCACTACGTTCCCTGACATTGTTGTGGGCGCCGCCATTTTGGCTCGTATGCAGAGCAGACGCAACTGCCGATCGTCATGATTCAAAAGTGCGACTTCCTCAGCATTAGATTCGGTGTTAGAAAGCTCATGTAATATTGCTTTGCTCTGTCGCGAACGGTTTAAACATTTGTAGTGGGCAGAAAAACATTTCCTGTGATTTCAGATAAAGCTTCAGATAACTGGCAACCATGATTTTAAGACACAATATGGCCAAGTGTCGTTACTCTGAAGCGTAGCTTATTTAGTGGCACTAGTGGCGACAACCTCTAGGTGGCAGAGAACAATCAGAGAGCATACCGCCGAATTCAGAAACCTCACTCAAACTGAAGGGCTCCTCCAATTCCTCGAAAAAGGCGCGAGGGCCGGCGCTGGCCAATCGCGAGGACGGATCCGCCGTCGCGATTGGCCAGCGCCGGCCTTCGCGCCTCCCTCGAGGAAGTGGAGGGGCCCTTCAGTTTGAGTGCAGTTTGAGTGAGGTTTCTGAATTCGGCGGTTAGAGTTCCTGTATAGGCTCCCTACGGCAGCCGGGGTTGCGCGTTCATCTCCGCAGCGCCGTCTTTCCTGCACGGCATGTTGGTCCCGCTCGTCACGTAACTTAATTCGGCGAATAGCGGCAAAGCGCGTTCGAGGCGCGGCGCGCTCAAAAGCAGGGGAACGTACGCCCGGTGCGCGTGCAACGTCTACTTTCCTGCACGGCACTTGATCCGGCTCCTCACGTGGTCACGCAACCCTGGCTCCCGTAGAAAGCCTATGGTACAGTGTACTTACTAGAATACTTGGGTAGTGTTGGGACCAGAGGGGCTCGCCCACTGATCTCTATGTCTATTTGCTGGATCGCGTTTGACCAGCTCCTCCTATGGACTGGAATGCGGTCACTGGCGGCCATCTTTAGGTAGAGTTATATCATCTCTAGCCATCATAGTAATATGGCGGACAGCGCAATGTCGGCAGGCTGCCATAAAAATAGCCGTAGATCTAGTACACTGTACCGTGGGTGACATTTCGTGCTTGATTAAAGTTGTTAGACGAAGCAGATTCTTGAAACCCGGCGTGAACGGTAGCCTCATCTTTGAGGACCCGGCAAAAGTTCTACGAAAGCGCAGCACCGGGGGAAAGCAGCGCAGCTCGCATCAAAAGCAGACTCCGTACCGTCGTCTGCTTTCGATGCTTCTTTCGATGCGACTTTCAATACGTGCTGTGCTGCTTTTCTCTCGGTGCTGCGATTTCGAGAAACTTTTACCAGGTCCTCAAAAACCGGACTACTGTTCACGCCGGGTTTTAAAAACATGTTTCGTCAAATAATTTTAATCAAGCACGCAATACCACCCACGCTCTTTTGACCGCAGCCTGCCAACCCACCTGCCAAAACGCTATCTGCCATGGATGGATGATAGCGGCTGCAGCAGCTTACATTGGCTAGAGGTGATATAACTCTACCTAAAGATGGCCGCCAGTGACCGCATTCGCGGAGCGGGCAAACGCGATCCAGCAATTGTCATAGAGATCAGTGGGCTCGCCTGAAGCGCGTGGTACTGATCGCGACAGGTGTCGACACCGGCGCGTTATCCAGAAGGTGTGCGCATGCGCGGCTGCACGCGCGGCTGCACGCGCGAAAATATGAATCTTTGGTGCCGCTTTGGTGGAGTGCACATAGGATTTCTGATAGAGCTACGACCTGCCAGCGGTCGTACCGCGGCATAAATTACGCTGCTGCACGATCGTTAGCAACATGATGCTTCAATGTATTGGACGGTACAAGCTACATTACCCTTCCCTTACATAAAAACAATTGCGACTTTAAAGAAGCGGATTGCAAGTTGTTTCAGCGTAGAATTAGCTTCGGTTTGTCGGATGGTGAGCATTTTAAATGAAATGCCCATTTCCTTAATCGCAAGGGCCGAACGTTAGATATTTGAAAGGGATATCTAAAACTCGGAAGCAGTTTCTTTTTTTTTTTTTTACTATCTTATTTTGTAATGGAACGAAACGGCACATACTAAAGTCCGAGATTGTTTTAGTATGTTTTTAATACCAGGTTAATTTCTCTGTCTACTTTTCTGACCGTCTTCTTTTTCTTCCCCTTAATGAGCTGGCTTCACTTGTCACTCATTCTTGTGTTCATTTCTGCGACGAACCACCCAAGCGACGGGCGCAAAGGGGTGATAGTCTTTTATATCTTCATGGCTGCCACGACCATCCGAGGACCAGACGACGTTCACTTGTAAAAATGGCTTATAAGCCGTGACAATTTTTTATCACGCGTTTTAACATTGAACTCAAGTCCAAAAACTGAGACAACGTGGGGGGAACCAGTAAAGCTTTATAAGATTCAAAGAAAACAAGCAACTATTTCACATCATTTTGAGCAGAATACATGAGCACACGTAGATCAGGCAAGGAAAAAGTTGTAATAGTTTACTGCACGGCATTGAAATAATGGTTACAATGTGCAGCGCATACATGGTTACAGTATGCAGCGCATTATCCTGTTGAGGGTAAACCATCTGAAACCTACACGCTCATAACAATATATTTAACAAACAGCTGCTTTCTGACAACCAGGTAAGTCTCGCCTGGGCTGGGTATTCGAAGGGAAAGACCCATGGTTCCACAGGGGGCGTATCTGGTTCACGCAGACGTACAGGATGTTTTTGTTTTATTCTTTTCAGAACTTTGCACATTTTACAAAAAAAGGATGTGGCAGATATGTGGATGCCGTCTTTCGTTATATCTGTAGGGCTTGGTGGGCAATAAATGAATGAATAACCGTTGCAACGTTTAATAATTAACAAAAATATGTTAGTTAACTTGTTTATTAACGGCTTAATTGGCCATGGTGTAATTACAGTTTTAAAAGGAGTCATTATTAAAGGCAAACACAACTTCGACAATTCGCCAAAAGGCAACGAGGTTCGCGAAATGTATTGTAAAAGTTTGCCTTTCTTCGCTTGATTCAGAAACCGCGTTATGAAAATAATACGTAGAATAGTGGCTTAGTCGTCGTGATGTGTGGCGCCGGCGAGTCCACCGAAGACACGCTGTCGAGTTAGTGATGAGGGGACAGAAACAACTACGTCATTCTTCTACGCACCAATATCAGCACAACCTCATTCGTGCTTTCAGTGCGCGATTTTTTAATTAACCGAAGAAAGGCAACATTTTAGCGATGAATATCTTAGGACAGAACGAGCGGGTTGGTAGACATAATTAAGCTTGCAGAAGAGAACGAGCAGGGACGGACAAACACAACAAAAACGTGCGCCTTGTTGCGTTTGCTCAAAGCTCGTTGTTTGTTCGCGAACTTGCTCAATTGGGTTGGCCTTTAATAATGGCTCCCTTTAAAGCTGCAATTGCAACATGGCCCATTACACCGTTCATTAACCCTTTGCCTAC